GCAGTCAGCCAGGATAGTAGCTGATGGTCATGTGTTCAGGGTAGGTGCAGTGTGACTTGCTGGGTTCTGTGTCTACCTTAAAGTTAGAGCCAGTAGGATTTCCTGGCGTATTAGATGGGGGAGGCAAAAGAAAAAGTGGTTGGCAGTGATTCTGGGTTGTTTTGTTGTGGTTGTGGTTGTTTTAACTTGAGCAGTTGGAAGACGAGATGGGCATTATGTGAGATGGGGCAGGGAGTGGAGCATTGTAGGGGGAGATCAGAAATTAATTTGGGGAGATCATCTTTTAAACAAATAGATGGAGATTTCTAAGTTAGACAGTTATCTGTGTGAGTCTGAAGTTCCAGGGGAGCAAGTAAATAAATATTATTGAAAACCATCCAATAAGAATGAGCATAGACAGAGGGAGGAAGAAACCCAAGGACTGTGCTTTGAGATGTTTCAATAGTAAGATGCCCTGGAGGGCTGGGGATGTAGATCAGTGGTAGAGCACTTGCCTAGGTTTAATCCCAAGTGCTTTAAAATAAATAAATATGCTCTGAAGATGAGAACGAGTAACAAAGGAGGCTGAATGTGAAGGCCTGGAGTGGGTGACAAAAGACTGTGGTGTCGTGGATTCAGGTGAAGGGTTTCCAGGCTATGTGAATGGTTCAGTGTCTCACGTAAGGTAAAAACTAAGATTTCATCACTGAATTTATCACCACAACCTTGAGGTCAGACAAAGAGTTTCAGAGACTAGGGGAGGGGTCATGATTGGAGTATCTTAGAGAAGGTAGGAGGAAAAGAATTAGGAGCAGGTACAGACAATCTTGAGGAATTTGACTTTGAAAAAGGAGAAATAGGGAGGCAGATGGAGGAAAAAAAGATTCAGAGTAGACTTGTAAGAAATGGAGAATAGTTTAGAATGGTTTAGGAGAGGGGAATATTGTGATAGAGATTTTTTGGTTTTGTCTTTTTGAGACAGGGTCTCCCTGTAGCCCCAACTGACCTAGAACTCACTATGTAGACCAGGCTGGCCTTGATCTTATACAGATCCACCTACCTCTGTCTCTCCAGTGCTGGGATTAAAGGGGTGCACCACCATACCCAGGTGAAGAGATCTTTTTAAGTAGCTGGGAAAGGGCAGGTTGGCCTCAGGTTCTCGGGGGGCAGTTTATCATCTTAAGAGAGGAGGTTAAATTTGGAACATATTGACAGGTGCACATGGGGAGGAGGCACTAGCAGAGGTTTTCTGGTTGCCTTATTTCTAGAGCAACAGGAAGCAAGATCATTGGCTTAGTAGTTACAGGAGAAATTATAAAAACAGTTGTCTAGAAGGAAATTAGGAGAACAGACCACATGGTGACTGGTGAGTGCCTCTGAGTCACTCGAATGGTATCTTCTGATTTTCTTTTGCTTCTACTGTTTTTCCTCCTAAAAGCTAATGGTTAGTGTAACATCAGCAGTCAATAGATGCTCCTGAGTGTTTAATTTCAGCATTAGAATCATGTTAGCTATAATTCATTTGTACTCAACTCTATATCACAGTATTCTTAGCACCTTATCTGTTTACTGCACTTGGTGTGCATGACACTTAGAGCTGTGATGAGATGGGGTCACCCAGAGAATGAGAAACAGCCATCACTCTATAGCGAAAAAGCAGATTTTCAGAAGGTCCCACAATGTGGGTGTGGCTGTTCAGTCACTAGGGAACAGTACAGAGATGAGATTCCCAAGCCCAAGCCTGTTACCACTGCCCCATATTCATCTTTTCCACCTTCTTTTACCATGAGAACTATGCCACATGTGTCAAATCTGAGCCTGGAACCAAGTCTTCTCCCAGTTCAGGGCCTCGTCTGCCATCATCCTTTGAGGATCATCCTTGGGATGCAGCCACAGCAGAGTTCTCACTAATACTAGCTAGCTACCTGCAGGGGTAGCTATAGTGCACCAGCCATAGAGCATCTGGACGTTTGCCAAGGGGATACTACCTGCACTGACATGGCCATCCAGGAGAGGGCAGACCTGTGTGCATAAGCATGACTGCCCCACCTACAGGCTCTGGAACACTGACTACTAAGTACCTCTGTTCCCAGGCTTTCATCCTGAAACAACAGTACCTGATTCTCTAAGAGGTTTGCTTAACGCCATGGTTCTCCTACAGTGATTTCTTCCCAAGTGGCAGTTGGCAGCATAAGAAGGTGTTTTGGATTGTCATAACCGAGGTGTAGAGGCAAAATAAGCTCCTTAAGTGCATAGGAGGACAACCACCACACTCCACAGAATTATCTGCTCCAAATGCCAGCTAATGCATTGAGAAGGTAAATAATCCTACCCTCAGCAAACATCTATAAACAGCTCAGCAACACTAAGACAGAGGCACAAACAAAAGATGGTTTCAGGGGTAGGGAAGATGGCTCCCTTAGTAAAAGCTCTTGCTGTGCAAACCTGAAAACCTGAGTTTGGGTCCCCAGAACCCATATAAAAGCTAGACATAGTAGTACTGCAATCCATGGCTGCCTCTCTCTGACTCTGTCTGTCTCTGTCTCTCTCTGTGTCTCTGTCTCCATCTCTATCTCTGTCTGTCTGTCTGTCTCTCTGTCTCTGTCTCTCTCTCTCTCTCTCTCTCTCTCTCTCTCTCTCTCTCTCTCTCTCTCTCTCTCTCACACACACACACACACACACACACACACACACAAAGATGGCTCCAGTCCACAGAAATCAGTCATAAATAACTTAGGGATTCTGCTTATTTGAAGCAGGTCCCTGCAGCCCAGGCTGGCCTGGAATGCACTATATAGATCAGGCTGGCCTTGATCTCACAGAGATCCACCTGCCTCTGCTTCCTTGAGTACTGGGATTAAAGGTACGTGCCACCATACCTGTCTAAAAAGGCTTTGAGTGTCAAGTGGATCCTGATTTATTGCTTCAATTGCTCCACTTGCTGATACTGTCACTAGTGTGACAAGTGTATACCAGTGACCATGCAGGGCAGCCAAGAGGGCAAATTGTCCCCTCTTGGTACCCATACTGGCCTTCTATGTATGTGAGAATATGATGCTCCTCATCTCACTCCATGGAAATGTTCTCCACCTCCAAACCATAATCTGTTGCAGAAACTTCTGGCCTTGCAAAAGGAACTGCAAGCTTATTCTCAGCCCTGGGCATTTCAGATGACCAGAGGGTGTTAGTCCCAAAGTCTGCTGGCCTATTTATTTAAAGGACATTTACCTAAAGGTTTGAGGGGCCACCTGCTTGGAATCAGGACTGCTTTTCTGAAACATATCCACTTTGGAAAAGCATAGGCATATGCCTTACCTGAAATAGAGATATCTTATTTGTGCCTTACCTGAAATAGAGATACCTTCCTAAACCAAAATGAGCTCAGGGTTCAATAGAACCATGTCGGCTTCTGTCTGTAAATAATGCTGCTCTACTATCTCTTCCAGTGTGAATCTTGTTCAGCAAAATCATAAAGTGGAAGGAATGAAGACCAGCCTTCATCCGTGGAATCCTTTTTGCTTAACACATGATTATCTTTTCTCTTTTCCTTTGTGTAGACACTACTGTGAATGTCTAAAGACACATGAATGATGAACCTAAGTTAATGTATAGCTATGACAGAAAACAGAAAAACATGTTTAAATCATGAGCAAGTTGTAGGTGTCACAAAAGATCAAAGTACCCACCTTCTTCCTTATAGTAATTTATTTGAGACGCAAAGTAGGAGGGCATAGAAATCAAATACAGCCAAGAGGTGGGTTTGAGTTTACCAGTGTCTACACAGCTAATTCAAGGTCTTCTTTGGATCAGAGGAGAAAGCAGAGACACATAAACAGCACAACATTATTAATACACCCTTCCTGGTCTTAGTTTAGTGCAGTATAGTACTCCTGAAATGTAATGATAATAACAATAATTGTTATCATTCATGGAGGGATATTTCTGTGGGTCAGGCTTTATCCCAGGAACTATCCAGATAATCTCACATCCTGTTCCGACTACCAACAGGAAATGAGTATTCAGGTAAGGATACTAAGACTCTAGGAAGCTGTATAATGTGCCCCAGACTCCTAAGAAGAGGTAACACTGAGATCTGAACCTAGGAAGGTAGATGATTTAAATATGCCAAGAAAGTTTGCCCTTGAAATGAAATCTGAATGGAATCCCTTTGAGAAAATGAATTCTTGTCTTTTATAGAGTCTAAATTTTTTGGTGAAGGGTTCCGTAATATGGTCTTAATATCTGGGGTATTTTCATCAAAATAACATATTTCGCTTATATCATACAAGCTGGTGCAGTAGAAAATCTATGGGGCAAGGTGTCCTTCTACTAAGTATAAGGAATGAGGCTTTGCTAAAGTTACTAGACTCTTCCAAACCCGTTTCACATCTTCAAAGTAGGATGCGTTTCAAAGTATTACATTAATTACTTTCCTGTTGCTGTGATAAAATATCATGACCAAGGCAACTTATAGAACGAAGAGGTTATTGGGCTTACAGTTCCAGAGGGATGAGTCCATCAACACAGGGGAGGCATGGCAGGAGGCAGCTGGAGCACAAAGCTGACCACTCACATCTTTAAGCAGGCGCAGGAAGTAGAAAGCCTACTTAGAGGTGGGCAAGGTTCTATATTCTCAAAGCCCACCCCCAGTGACGTGCTTCCTCCAGTATGACCACTCCTCCTTAAGGTCCCATGACCCTTCCTAAACAGCACCACCAACTGGGGAGGACCAAGTGTTCAAATACTTGAAACTTATGGGGACACTCATTCAAACCACTACAAGTATTATGCCAGCCTTAGAGTATTATTGCCCACTGAGTCACTGTATTGTTCTTGTTGCTATTATTTAAATGTGTTCTCAAATTGTAGTGTTTGCTGTGGGATTTTTAAATTGCACTGGGTATTCAAACTTTGCTTTGGCATCTGTGTTTTGTGTAGTATCGAAGAAACAGAGCCTGTTGAACCATCTTCCACAAGCAGGAAAACACCGGTGTAAAACATGTTTGTGTTCTAAACTTTAGGCACCGCCCAGGTTATGGAAGGAGGTCAAGTGGACTATAAGCCTCTTTCAGGCATTCGATATATGTGGTGGTACCATTTAATTGGCCTTGTCTGGACTAGTGAGTTCATCCTTGCGTGCCAGCGGACCACGACAGCCGGAGCTGTGGTTACTTGCTATTTCACTAGGTAAGTCCAGCGTTTTCTACAAGTGGATTGTCTGCATACTTTGTGTTGTGTCTGCATCTCTGAAGATACTTGGGAATTCTGACCTGCCTCTTTAAAAGAGAATAAAAGGTGCTGGGTGTGGTGGTATACACTTTAAATCCCAGTACTCAGGAGACAGAGGCAGGCGGATCTCTGTGAGTTCAAGGCCAGCCTGGACTACATAGCAAGTTCCAGACCAGCTGGGGCTACAGGGAGACCCTGTCTCAAAAAGACAAAAAAGAAAAAAAAGAGAATAGCAAGGGTAAAAGACTAAGCTAAAATTTGGCCTAGACCCTCATGTGTTAGTCAGAGTAAATGTTCTCTCTTCTATCTTGACTCTCACACATTTCCAGGCTCTTTCACTTTAAGCTAGAAAATTCAAAAAGCAGTCAAACAGTAATTATATTGCCTAGAATTGAAAAATACCTAAAAGGAAGGGTTGCATTCTCCTGTAAATCTCCATTCTTAATTATTTCAGACTTTAAATGCTATGGATCTATTTTACATATACTTCAGTAGTTACATGAACTATTTTTATTTATGTATAATCAGAAGGATATGTACTTGGAAAATAATTTTAAATACTGAAGAAACTGTATGTAACTGTAAACTATAATTCATGCCCTGAGAGTTAAGTACTAGTGAATTAATGACTTGCTCTTAGTTTAGAGCCCATTACCTCATGAAAATAATTGAGGAACACCACCCCCTCTTACCCCCACGCTCATACACCCGACCCCTTGGCATCTCTTGTGTGTGACTCTCCACAGATCATAGCCAGAATAGCAGGCCCAGGACAATGACAGGGCTGGACTCTGAACAGGAAGTTTACTCCCAACAGAACTGATCTTCCTCTAATCTATCAGACCAAATGAAAGATAAACACGAGCTTTCGTGGCATAAGAAAGCTAAGTAGGCATGATTCATGCCGTTGCCTCCTGATGATAAAGAGCACTGTGGGTTTTTAATACGATGGTGTCCTTTGGGAACCCCATCATTAGGGACTCTGGAAGACCCACAAAGGGGCTGCTGCCCTTGGCAGTGAGAGCCTCCCAGCAGCTGGGGGTGGGAGTTGCCTGCTCTTGGGTAGGGAACAAACATCCTTCTAGCCAAATGGGCCAGCAGGTAACATTTGTCTGATGGAGTGATTCTGTGTTGTCATAGAATAACCAAACCATAGCATTTCCAACAAGGGCTTTGATGTGGAGGTCCAGTGGAGCATATGCATTGATCTCAGCCCCACCCTCTCTCCACTCTCCCATCTAAGAACTGCAAAGGTGTAAACACCAGGACAGTGAAAAATAGACAGGCAGTGACAGTAGATGAGAAACATCAGCCTTAAAACCTATTACTTTGTGTGCTAATTTTTAAATTAAATTAAATTTAAAACTTAAAAGTAACCAAATGGTAAAAGCTGAAGACAGGACTAGACATGCTAGAAAAATCTGGAGAGTCTTGCCTATGAGTGTTGGCTGTGTGAAGAGGTACAGATAAGATGCAGGATGAAGTGAGCTGCAAAAGCCCAGAGAGACTCAGGAATTCAAGTATAAAATGTACTTCTGGGTCCAAGAGATGGCTCAGCATGGAAAAGCACTTGCCTTGCAAACCTGACAATCTGAGCTCAATCCCTGGAACCCATGGTGGAAGGAGAGAACCAAGTCCTGAAAGTTGTCCTCTGATGGACACATGCCCCCGACTCACATGTGCACATCATACATACACACAAACACATAATAATAAACAAAATTTAAAATATACTAATATAAATATTAACAGAAAATAAATAATATGAAATCTAATAAGTTCTGAAGATGAATTCGATCCTGCCTCCATGTGAACTTTTGCTCTCCAGAGCTACAGCCCAGAGGGTCTGGTCTTGGGGTACCTGGTATAACTGAGTCTGAGGCAAGGCTGTGTCTGAAGCAAGGAGAGCAAGTGGAAGTTTGAACACTGATCACCACTGCCCCACACTCCACAGCTCAGCTTTCAGGGCACTGGAAGCCAAGCTGATGCTCTAAAGGGACAATAGGGAATTCTACTCAGGAGAAATTGTCTAACCCAGGTAAAGTGCCATATGAGCCCCAATGAAATGGACTCCCAGACCCCTACCCCAGCAGTGGACAGCCCCAACAATCAGGCCCCTCACACAATGCATCCAAATCACACTTATGTTTGAACTGTTCACTAGTGATTATTAAGCATTTGAAGTGAGCAGAAAGTGAAAGAAAAGAGCAAAACAAGAGGAATTTAGGGAAATAAACACTACACAAACTGTAAAAGGAAAGTGTCCATAAAATCAGAGAGAATGAAGGAATATTGATCCCATAAACTAAGATTCCTCCCATAAAAATCAGTAATGAGAGAGAACCACTTTTCTCCTGATAGGGTATCTAATCCCAAGTAGTCAGTCTTAAACATGTTCACACAAGCACCACTAAATGGACTCAGCAGATTATACACGTGACTATATTATATGCAACAATAATCAAAAAAGAGATTGCAAAATTGAGGGAGGCATGGGAAAAGTTGGAGGGGGAATAGAAGAGGTAGAGATGGTGTGAATATAGTACTAATGCATGAATTTCTCAAAAAATAAAAAGGGGGCTGGAGAGATGACTCTGCAGTTAAGAATACTTGCTGCTCTTCCACAGGACCTGAGTTCAGATCCCAGCACCCATATAAGGCAGGTCACAATCACCTGTAACTCCAATTCCAGGGGATCTGACACTCTGTTCTGGCTTCCAAGGACACACATATACATGTGGCATACACACAATTTCTTTTAAAATTAAACAAAAAGTAAATAAGTAAAAATTACAAGATTAATACTGGGAGAATGAGAAAGATCCTTTAATTATGAAATTTTCAAAACTAAGAATTTTCTATTGAATGATTAGGATACGAAGTTAATGGGACTGGAGAGGTGACTCACGAGTTAAGAGCACTGGCTGCTTTTGCAGAGGACCCGGGTTCAGCTCCCAGCACCCATATGGCAGCTAACAACCATTTAGAACTCTAGTTCCAGGTGATCCAACACCCTCTTCTGTCCTCTGTAGACACTGCATAACATGGGTATACTTATATACATGCAGGCAATACACTCATACACATAAAATAAAAAAAAATCATAGATTTTTTTTAAAAAGAGTATAAAGTTAAAAAACTGCTAGAAAGTAGAATAAAAAGATAAAAGGAAAATAGGAAAAAAGGATAAAATATTAGAGTTAGGTACTGGAGAGATGCCTCAGTGGTCAAAAGCACTGGCTGCTCTTGAACCCAGGTTTCATTCCCAGAACCTACATGGTGGCTAACAACCATCTGTAACTCCAGTTTAAGGGAATCCAAGGCTCTCTTCTGACCTTGGCAGGTACTACATGTACGTAGTGCACTTAAATACATGCAGGCAAAACACTCATACACATAAAATAAATACAAATTTTAAATATTGGAGTTATTTAGGAGACCTACCATCTGAGTAATATGAATTCTTGAAAGAGAAAAAAAAATTTAAGTAGGGATTTATGTAGCCCAAGCGGTCTTCAGATTCACTGTGTAGCTAAGGCTCATCTTGAACTCCAAATCCTCTTGCCTCCTCCTCTGAAGTTCTGAGATTTCTGTTATATACCACCACTACCACATGCAGTTTTTTATTTGTTTGGTTGGCTGTTTTGTTTTGTTTCGTTTTTTGAGACAGGGTCTCCTTGTAGCCCCAACTGGCCTGGAACTTGCTATGTAGACCAGGCTGGCCTCAATCTCACAGACATTGGCCTGCCTCTTCCTCCCAAGTGCTGGAATTAAAGGCATGTACCACCATGCCCAACCCAGTTTAATTTTTTTAAATATATTTTTATTAATTACTTGAGAATTTCATACACTGTATTTTGATCATTTTCAGACCCCTCCCCCATTCCCATCCCAACCCTTTTGCTCCCCTACTTCGTGTCCTCTATTATTTTTTTTTAAGACCTATCAAGTCTAATTTGTATTCTCCAAATGCTCATGGGTATAGGTCCATCCCCTGGAGCCTAAAGAAAACTGACTCTTCCTTTTCCAGTAGTTATCAATCGCCAATTAAAAAAAAAAAAGTTAAAGAAATTTTCAAAGAAAATTTGGCAGGGCTAAAGACATAAGGAAAAGTTCCCAGAGGCTTCTCAAAGGTTTAAAAAGATCAAGCAAGGCTTTCAAAATGCTGGGGTCCCTGGGTTCCCAGCCTAGAATTCTGAGCCCATTCTCACCATCAGACAAAGGAAAAACAAAACACAGTCATGCTCAGACATACAAAAGCCCTCCAAATTTCCCTCCCCACATCCTTTCCAGGTATTTTTACTGAAACTCATGAGTAAGCTCCGGAAGAAAAGAGGAGTTTCAGAAAACGAACAGCACAGAGAAAAGGAGGGAAGGGAATTCCCAGGAAGGTAGCGGTGTTGCAAGCGTTAACAAAACAACAATAATAATAATAACGTCTACTACAGAGTAGGAGGATGGTGAGCCTCAGGAGGGCTGTCTCCAAGAAAAAACAGTGAAAGAGAGAAAAACAGATGTGCTTGAACATGTTGAAAAAGAGTTACCGTTTAGCAAAGCCCACAGGAAACCAAGCAAGTAAAAAATGATACAGTTATCAATTCCAGGAAAACCTAAAAGTTGCGCAGAAGAGGAAATATTGGAATATGCTACTAGGGTCAGTCATGAATACTTGCTGGACATATGTGCTGTTGGTGCAAACACTGAACATGAATTAAAATCTTCAGTGTAACTGAGAAGGGATAGGAAGGTCAGTGCCTCTTGAGGGTTTAGACTGAGAGGAAAATTAGACCTGGATCTAACATAACAGGGAGTCAATATCTGAAGGTGAAAAATTTAGAGGGCTGGGCTGTGCCGCTCATTAGTAGAACATTTTCCCAGAATGCCTGAGGCCCTGGGTTCAGGCCTCAGCAACACAAAAGAAAAAAAGACAAGGTGACAGAGGAAAAGGCGAGTCAGTA